TAGAGCAGCAATGCCACATGATAATGGATGTGTATTGGCAGGGCAACAAATGTCAAGTATCGAGTCAATGGTCGCGGAAGAGCGAATGACTATTGACCTTAGGATTTAGCTTATTTCGATCGGAGCTATGGCTTCTCTCAATGGTTAGTGATCTTTAAAATCAGGCTCACGGTCTAACCCTTGATTACTATGTCGTTCTCGAGTTATACGTCTACCCTCTTAATCGGTTAGGGTTTAGTTATATCTATCAAAATGCATTTATTAGGATAGCGAGGGACAAGAGTTAATCGATAGAGGAATTAGCAGTTCGCGATAATTACCGGGGAACGAATTACCATCAATGTATAAAGGACTACTCGAACATGATGAAAAGTAGCGGAAAAGTTGAGCTGCTTACATACCTAAAATGTTGCTCACACTGTACTCTATTTTAGCGCACAAATATGTCGTCGATCCATGACAACGACTCACTCCACAAAGACGGCAGCACCCGATTTTAACATTGTCGGTGTTGCAGAAATATTCGGATGATTGTACGTCATTACTTAATATTAGTGACTGAAGATTGTAAGTCTTAATGTCTGATGATAGCAAGGTACAGAACTGTAAGGATTACTTTAGAGCGAAATTTAAATTATGTTTGTCAGTGCTGAAGGTAATTCTTCTTCATAGTATCATTTCTGCCCAATTACTGATTGCCTTGCCAATCCATGTTCTTCCAAAATGCTTGATATTTTAAGTGCACTGAGCAGGGGAATTGGAAAACAACTCGAGCTCGTTACTGAATCATATTGTTACGCGACATCTGGAGAACCAAAATAGGCCTTGTCTCTTTGTGATCGTGGAATATTCGCCAAGACACGATTAACATCGTATATGATAGGAGCACGAAGCTAGCGTGATATCCAGGGACATACCACGAAGTGGTGGCGAGAATAACCATCGTCGTTTATTGCCACATTCAAAGCTTGTTCACATTCTTGTGTCTTTTAATTATGCAGATAGAGCAATGAACTTGAAGCCGGAGAAAAATAATTATTAAGTCATAAAATCGAGAGAGATTACAGCTCGGACGGTTTATCCATCCCGCATATTAACACTTGCAGTTTCGTTGTCCGTTGAACGGTCTAGTAGATCTGGATTTATGTATCAATATAACGGAAAGATTCTTTTCGACTTTCTTTCCCCGAAGATGAATATGAACTCGATGGTAGATACTCTGAACGCTCTTGGGCGAATACAACAAGGTTTAGCATCCATCGCAACATATTGAAGTAAACGAACTTTTTTATTCAATCAATTAAAAAAGAGACTAAGCATTTGTGGCTTCCAATATCAGAAACCAAAGACTCTGTCACTGTTTATTCATGGTCTCCACTATAATTTACACTTATAAGCCTTTTCCTTTCTCAATTAATATCTTTGAGATTAAAGTCGTAAGATCGCTTATCCCCTGGCTCATTCTCCATCTGCACAGCTATTTGTTTGATCCTCGCTTCTTTTGAACCCTCATATTTTTTCGGACCTAGTATAAGTAGAATTCAGGTTATTCACATAGTTCTGGCGTTCACGCTTCTAAGATATCTTTGTTCCAATTTTGTTAATACCAAAATCTCCGTTATTGGGTTAGTACTCCAACTACTCACCATTGTGGGACTTACAAACTCCGGGTTGGCATATACAGTAGCCCCACGGAAACTTCCTTCAAATATACGAATAACATTTAATACAAATCGCGGTCCTATTTCTACAAGAGAAATGTCTTTATCCGCCAGTTTCTTGGAAGAATTTGGATCTGTTGGATCTTTCTCCACTATCTAGGGTAATATGTTTGGGACGAAATAAGGGTGTTAAAAAGTTGTATGATGACATGACATTGTGTTGCAAAACAAGCAAATCAGTCGGTCTTGTTAATCAAAAATAATCCAATATACCTACCTGATAGTTCCTAAACCATATTCTATTGTCCGCTATTGTAAATGATATTATATGATCTATAAACGGTTTTGAGCGGCGGGCACCCTTCGGAACACCAAAGATCTAATTCAAAGTAACATATAGCACTTTGAGCTTTAGCTGACAATGCAGTCGAAGGCTATCGCATGATAGATATATTAAACAACACACTTACATGAGTAAATAGCTCTTTTATTATTAGCCAGTGTGGTTGTAAATCAAAACTCTTGTCAAAGGATAATATCGGTCTAGACCCCTTTAAACAATTACCTGTCATTTTCAACTCATCCATTGTATGCACTTGCAGAAATAGAAAAGGATGCATTAATTTTACGGTTCTAGTAATAGTGACTCTCAACGATTTGCTATATAGACGAGCAATTCACAATAATTACCATTTTGTACATGGAATTTGACACTTGGTCCATTGGGTGCTTTCGATGCCCACATGTAAAGATCAGACTTTCTTCGTATCTCAAAGAATATACAGTTATTGCAATTATTGAGTTCGCATAATTCATTTAATATTCCAAGGTTTGATTTGGTATCTAGTTTAGAATCTAAACAAAAAGGCGCTAGCATTAGTTACCAAGAATTCAGATTTTCGAACATAAGACAATCAGATCTGCTTACCTTTTTTGAAATGTGGAGTGAGCGCTGTAAGATCGTTCAACAGATGTCTCTGTCTGAAGGTGTAGATATTGTTGGGAATCAATGCGATTCTATTAGCTCTTTTGTCTATTCGTGTCTCATTTGTTTCCTCTTGTTACCTGTGATTGATTCCACGTGAAGCCAGAATCAATACGCGTTGTTTATACTTTGTCACATTCTTTGCATTATCATCTTCTTTTGAAGTTGAATCTCCCTTCGCAAGTTTGTATAGTGTTGCCATTATCTGTGTTTGGTTTGTTTTTTTTGGTTGGTTTTTTTTAATATTTCCCCCGTGTAACATCTATCACGGGTATGTTAAAAGTGTCGGTCTCGTGACTTATAAACTCCATATAAAAATGAAATAATTCTGTCACTAGGGCGCAGTAGAAGCGAAGTGACTGAACAGGATTTAAGTACGAATGCTGAAACCTTTATTTGTGTACAAGTGGCTCTCGATATAAGAACCCTTCGATCTAAGAAATTTTCGATATAGGAAAGATTTTTGCTGGACCCGATTTAAAATCTTATAACAAATAACTCTCGTTATTATCGTGCCATACTACAACTTAACTCTCTAATTTCCGAATGTTTGGAATAAAAGGTTGTTAAGAACCCTGATATCCGAACGATTTTGGGGTCATCTTTTTTGCATGCTTATTATATACGTATGTATGACACATGATTACTGCGGAAATGTGTAATCCACTATATAAACACAACTTTTATCTTGCGTACAAACTCTGAAATTCTCTTCCAATTTAAGAGAATTGACGAACGATATTAACTGCTACTACTTTTGTCGACTTTACGCGGCGTGTTGGGTAAAATAATCTGCCGTGATCTTTATTCTTTCATTTCCAAAGAGCCTGCTCTCTGAAAGATGACTGAAGGAAAAACCAAGATTTTATTTGTTTGTTCAGGTTAGTTCTCAAGCACAAGAGACTTCAAATTTATCTCACGACTTGCTAAAAATTAACTATGTTTGACATTAGGAAACACTTGCCGCAGGTGGGAGAGACATTAGTTTTGCTTGCCAATAGTCTATATAAGGAATAATTCTTTCTTTTTCTGCAGCCCTATGGCAGAAGCGGTATTTGCTCATGTGCTACAGAAAAATGAATTAGAGGATCGATTTTATCTAAATAGCGCGGGAACACAATGTTATAATCCTGGACATCCGCCAAGTACTATTTTGATAACATCAACAATCTTTCTTAGTAGTTATTCCAAGGATGTACTTAATCAACGGAAACTGATATCCTAGTTTTGCTTATTTATTTCTCTAGATCCGCGAACGGTTGAGATATGCCGTAGGCATGGCATCCCAGTGAGTCACTATTCCCGAAACGTGAGTGCTCTATAACCACTCCGTTCAGTATGCTTGTTGCATCTTTTCCCTCACGTCTATTTAATACCACAGGTTGCAGAAAGAGACTATTATGAATTTGATTATATGCTCTGCATGGATTCTAGCCATTTATTGGGTTTAAATCAATTAAAACCGGAAGGATCAAAGGCCAAAATCATGCTATTTGGAGAGTTTGATCCACAAGGTGATCGTAATATTGTTGACCCCTATTTTGGCGACTTAGATGAATATGAGAGAGTTTATCAGCAAGTGTCAAGATGCACTGAGGCTTTCTTGAAACACTTAAGTTCTGCATAATAGCAGACTGGTGATTGCGTATATTAATATATAAATTGTTGTTAATTGCAATGAACCAAAAGTAATTCTTTGAATAAAGAAGATGTTGCATATATATATGCTATTGATCATATGGGGCATGCTGCTGACGGTTTTGTTATAGATTGTAACTTCATCGTTTGAATTAAAGCTCCCGTATTATTACGCCGACCATTACAAAGTATGCAATTTAGCAACAGGCCGAGAGTGAAGCCAATAAATACTCCAAAAAAGAATTCGCTTGTGAATGTAAGCATTTTTCGTAGGAGTGTTATTTATATTGTGGAAGTTGACAGATTTGTTTTATTACTTTAAACGATGTATTGTGATATTTATTGCGTTGTGGTTGATTTCTGAAGTAAGTTAATTGCTGATATCCGTTTGTTCATCATACACTGCGGACGATTATTAGACAAACGCGAATTTCTGCGCGTTGATTATCATTGGTCCCATTCTGCACATTGTGAAAAAGTTCCTAAGAAAACTAATACGTCATTGATTAAGCCACTGATCGGCATTTGTACACAGTAAAGCTCGGTTTAACGAAGGTCTCCGTTCCGCCAAAAATCTTCGTTAAAGCGGGCGCCTATCTATACAACGAATTTTTATATAAAATCACGTGAACTTCGTTATAGCGAAATTTA